GAGGTTATCTTCGGAACAAATTGAGGCAGTTGAAGAGAAATACCATCCATGCGTCTTTATTTCTTATATCAGAGTTTCTCAATCTTGGCAACTTTAAGATGGCTGGACTTCAACTCCCAGAATCCCCTAGCCAGTATGGGTGAAAAACTCTGCCTTCCTTCATCAAAGCAACTTGGCTTGCAGTCCTTTCCAAGACTCATTGATGCATTAATCCCTGTAAATCCAAGGCAACACGTGGATTTTGAGGAAAATCAGCACAAAATAGCAAAGTCCAATATAGGTTTCTTAGTGGCTCATTTCTATACCGTAGTCATGAGAAACAGTGTTTCTCAATTTCAGCAGCTATGTGGATTTCAGCTCCCAGAATTCCCTATGTTCACATGACTGCCTTCAATTGCTTTAAACCATCATCATATATCCAGTCTCACATTCTGGTATTCAAGAGACACTCAGTGGAAAACAATTGTTTCAAACCATGAAAATAACTATTGTCACTTGAGAGTGGCTATGATTTCTAAAGCAGACAAAGGATGTTGGTTAGGCATCAACATATAAACTCATGGTGTAGACCTGTAGTTGCTTGCAACTTTCTCTCCACTTCCCTTCAGAAATTACTCTTAAATCAAGAAAGTTCCTCCTCCAAGTGGTTTCCCTGCCTACACTGTCTGCGTGGGCCTTCTCTGAGCAGAAAGCTGTAATTCATATTGGCTTATCAGCTGGACTGAGCTCGTAGAAGTATTATTCATTGGAAAAGTTGCAAGAGCTATTAAATGATGACACTTAATGCAGGGAGGGAGAAAAAATTGAGTTTTGAAAATTCTGCCTCTCCATTGCTTTCACTGTTGTAAATCTTGGCTAGTTAACTAGCAAGATGCTGGATGGAAATTCATCTGAACAAAAGGTATTCAAGTCCTATGGATCCTTTTCAGGTTCCCCAAATGATAGGTTAAGAATTCACCTGGAAGATTCGTTATTATTGAAATACTGATGGATGGGAAAAATGTTTAGTTGTGGGTATATATGCTCCTAACCAGCAAAGTGAACAGAAACAATTTTATATGTATATTCATCAGAAATTAATAAAATTGGATTATAGATCTGTAATTTTATTAGGTGACTGGAATGGAGTAATAGACCCAATTAAGGATAAAGGTTTATCAAAGATAGTGAATCATGTTAAGTTGCCTAAGACTTT